CTGTTGATCAAGTACCAGCCTTGGTCTCCGTCCAACGGAGCAGCGGTCGTGGTCGATGGTGGTTATTGTGAGGCCGTTCGTAAATAACGTCATGCAGATTTAATCGATGTTGACCCCGTACCCCCCGTGGTTACGCTGGCGAGCTTTGAGGGAGGTTTCAGCATTACTTGCGTCCACGCCTGAGCGTGACGTTCCGTTCCCCGAAACCCCCTCCCCTTGTGACGCCTTGATTACGCGTCATCGATCTTTGACATCCCTGTCCACTCATGGGCGACCCCATGTAGAATGGACCACTTGTCGCCTGGAACTATCGTGCCTACGCAGGAACTGTGGCCGGTCTGTGTAGTGCCGCCTCGCCACGCCATGCAGGCCGTGATGGTGTACGTTTCGCCGGAGCTGCCGCGTCGGAACGTGCTCCTGTGGGCGGGGTTTGGGCCGGGTGCGGCGGCGCCCCGCACGGGACCGACCTTGCGCTCGCAGCGACACGCCGGCTGACGGGTCATGCTCAGGGCCTACCCACGTCGCCGGCGTGGCGTGCTGCGGGCATCGGGGTGGCGGTGTGACGGGAAGACAGCGAGGCAGCTCGTGATGGGTGGAACCTGTGGCTGGTGCGGGCCTTTGTACTGCGATGCGATGACTTGCGATGCGATGTTTCGGCCTAAGCACTGATGACCTGTTGATCTAGGCCATCTGTATGGCCACCAGACGCGTTGCGATACTACGCGCAGGGTAAACGTAGCGCTAGCTGGCAGCGCTGTGATAGGGAGAGAATGGCACGTGGGCAATGTTTGTTGGTCACGCGAGGTGCGCGCCGTCCGAAACGCCGAGGACATGGTGTGATACGGCACAAAATCCAAAATGCGCCGCTATAGCCCGGACCCTGCCTCGCCCGCAGACACCCGTTCACGTCTGCCGGTGACGTCATTGAACTGTCATGGGCGGTAGGTCGGCAGGCTAACTCTAACCATCTCTAGTCATCTTATCCTGGCCCAACGCTGACGGACGTTGACGGGCTGGCGCGGGCGCGGCGGTGTGGGATACGTGGAGACACTGGCGGACGTGAGGTTGATATTCTGTGAGGCGTGTGCGGCGCGCGGCGTTATGGCTGCCTTATTGCCCCAGTGCTCATGTGCTGACATCTGTTGTGATGTTTAGGAGCCATGCCAAGGGCGAATGTAATACAACAGTTTGGTCAATGAAATGTCCATTCTGAACTCGGTAGTTTGAATGCTTTGAAGCCATGGTATTTATTGGTGCCCCGTGCGTGCCTCTTGATAACTGCCGGGCTCGGACGCGGCCAACCATCAATACACCGGGGGGCCGTTTGAATCCCACTCATTGATGACTCGTGCACCAGTCGTCGGTATACGGCTCGTTGGCGAGTTCAAAGCCGCTGCTGGGTTCTCGTTTTTGTTCTCAGTTCTCGTACTGTCCGTCCCTGGGTAGGCCCCGGACTAGTGTTTCGGGCTTGTCAGTGCCTTGGGTCCTCGCGCCGGCTTGTGACCCTTAAACGTTTTCTTGCGTTCATAACCCGCTCGGCCGCTTGCTGACCTACCGGCTGCATAAGGGCAGATACTTAGCTACAGGTCGTTTGCTCGCAGCAGTTACATACGACTATTATCGCAATTGCATCTTGCATTTCTTATGCCCTGCTAAGTTATTGATGATTGCTATGAACTTCGGTCTACAGCATCGTTTGTGGATCTCAGCACGAAGTGGACAAAATGAAATGTATTTGTTGCCACAATAAACAGCACTCTGCGTTTTGTTTCTACCATAAATAGCACTGAACCACATGCTACCAGTAAATATCCGCACCTTTGCTTGGCTCAAGCAAGCGCAACAGGCATGAAGAAAGCCGTGGGTCTTACAAACATTACAGTCGTAGCGCCGCAAGCAAGGGTGAAGCTATCCCGGATATGTTGGTGTTGTGAGCCACTTTGACAGCAGTTTGATGTTCCGTGTAAACATGGATAGGAGAAGTTTTTTAGCAATGCAGAGGAAACACGATAATAGAACACGGAATCCCTCGCCTTCAAAGTTGCCCTGATCTGGCCCTGATTTCACACTCTTCCTGGAGACAGGCGGTTCCTATCTTGGTTACAGCAGCGCTCCTGGCGGCGCTTAGACGTACTTCGGCGGTGGCGCGCCGTACTGCAGAGCAGCCTTCTTCGCCTCCTTCTCCGGTGTGCTCAGGTACGGGTTCTTGTACGGATCCAGGTTCACCCTGGGCACGAAACATGACTGTGAGAACCTGTGTTGGCAGCGTCTGTAGGCAACAGCACGAGTCTGAATTGACAAAAGCCGACTAGGGGGATGGTCTGGTACGGCCTGCAGGTGAAGCCGAGCAGCAACCGTGCATTAGGAATGGGTTCGAGCTTCGAGCCGCTGTTTCTTGTCCGCACATGACGGGATCAGCTATTGGATACCTCGCTGTGACGTCGGTGTCCAGCGGGTCGATAACCCGCTGTAACGTTAGCGCTCAGCACGGACGCCGCTTAACCGCCGTACACCTATGCATACTGCGCCAGAGCCATCTGGAGACGCTTAGTCGAAGCTCAGCTTTTGAGTCCGCCCGTTGCCCCTCCAGCCTTGGTGCCCGGTCCATGTCGCCGCCCTTACCAGTGTTGCCTTGGCAGTAGGGTGAATGGCTGCAAAGATCGGGCCCCGGCGCCAGGTGAAAGGCTCCGGGCCCACATCGGCCAACGGCACACTCACTGGTACTGATTGACTGAGTCGGCACAGTTGACGTTGTACCACCAGTCGCAGGTCAGCTCGTACTGGTTGAAGACGGTGCCGTTGGTGCAGAGGAAGGAGGCGCCGGCGTACCCGTGTCGGTTGTCCAACTCGCACACGTGGTAGGCCTGTGGTGACCGGCCGGGCGAGGTCAACACGGACCCCGTACGCACTGGGTCGGACGGTGGCGTGTCAGGAAGCACATCTCACAACGGAACACCCATACTCCTGGGTAATGGGGCCGTAAACACATCAAAGGCATTTGGCAAACAAATAGCCTGGATCGTCGTTGGGCCGCTGGGGTCGCATCGCTGGTGGCCGGAGTCGGCCTGCGGACCGCGGGAATCACTGACATGTGCGAGGCCCTGATGGCAATCCTTTGCCACACTGATGTCAGTGTCGGAGATCTACACATGGCGTCCGGCGCCCGCTAGCGGATGGGATCCCGCATAGGTACAGCTTGTGGCGTTGGGCGTCCGCTAGGGGATGGGATCACACATAGATGTAGTTCCGCACAATAGGTTGGGGAACCAGGCAGGGAGGAAATGCCAGAACCTGTCCTCATACCACAAAAAGCTGGCTTCTCCCCAGATTTGACCCACTGTCCTCTCAAAGTTAGAGGACTGGAGCACCCCGCCCCCACCCCCTGCACAGGAGATTTTGCCCATGTGATCACAGATACGTACCTGACACCCAGCCTCGGGGTCGGCGTACAGGCCCGGCCGATGAGGCACCTTGTCGCACGTGAAGCCGGTCTCCGGCACCTGTGACGCAACGCCACCTTGTCAAGACGCCATGCTGGGTGGTCCCGTCGTGAAAAGGACGGAGATTGGGAGCCTCACTGCGAATATAGATGCCTGCTGGGCTCAGCTGCGAGTTATAATTCGGCGGCGCTGTATAGCGCTATTAGACAGCTTTATGTGCTACACTTAAGGGGACTGGGCCCGCCAACTGTTTTGGTTTTAGTCAGGGCGCAGAAAGTCGTGGCGCATTTTCAATTCAGTGGGTACATTTCCTCTCGCCGAGAGTTTTATCATTGCACTGCCACAATCTGTAAAGCTTTGGCTTTAGCAAAGCCCCTATGGGAGAAGATGCGGCTGTGGCTCTTCCAGTTACTAGTGTTTTAATCAACAGGGTTCCGACCGACGGCAAAACGCATAAGCGGGTAGTATTCCAGCTTCTTGAAAGTGTCCGTGTTGGGATGATATTACTGAAAATTTAGCACGTTCCAGATAAAATAAACAGGAACTGGCACATTCGTCTCAAGTTGCATTTCAAAAGAGCTTGGTTTTCTCTTGTTACGTTGCTCTGGTGGGTGAATTATAGTTTGAGCCATTCATTCATGAAAGCGCTGACAACTGCCCAAAAATTACTTCTGAGTGGAACTTAAGAAGAAAGTCGGTACGTTTATTGTGTGCAATATGCATGCAAAGCCTTTGATCAAATGTGAACTTTCTGAAATATTTCGAATCCCCCATCATCAGAAACCTTCCACCCATGATGAGCTACGCCATCCGAGTATCGGCAAACCTCATGAACGCGTGGACACGGAACGATGGCGATGAGCCCGTGGTCAAATGGCACTATCCCAAAGCACGTTATCATCGAACGGGCATCAGTCTCACTCATACTAATCTCGAGATGTGGCATGGCCCGTCACTGACCGCCGGGTAGAGCGGGTAGTCCTTGCCGGGATAGCCGGGGATCTTGCTCAGGTCCTGGGTGTTGATGCCGCCGTAGCGCGGCTCGTTGTAGCGGCCCTCGGGCGCCGTGTACAGGACGGGCCCGCTCGGCTGCAGCTTCTGCACCTGTCACCGCCGGGTATGCCGGGTCAGGGTCAGGGAGGGGACTGCAGAACAGCCGTCTGAAAGATCCGTCATCGAGCGGGCGAAGTAGCGCAGCGTCTTGCTCTGCAGCGCAGCAGGTAGTGCTTTCCACAGCAGTCACACGTTCGTTTGCTTGGCCTGAGTGGCATACGGACACTTTTGGAAGGAGCGTGGGTCACGATGTTTCTGAGCTGCTGGGCGTCCCTTGGTGCTCGTTTTTGACATCGACCGGCCTACCTCCCCGTTTCCCTCCGTTTCGAACTCCGGCGTGGCTCACCTGTTTGCGCTCCCTGGGCACGAACGGCTTCGGCACGTAGTGGCGCGTGGGCGGCGGCGGCGGCCCGTACGGCAGGGCTGGCGGCGGCGGCGCCCCGTACGGCAGGCCCGGCGGCGGCGGGCCAGCGACAGGTGGCGCTGGCGGCGCGCCGGGCACCACGTACACGTCGTAGGCGGCCGGGTCCTCCACGCGCGGCTTGCTGGCACGCGGCCGGCGCGGGATCTCTTCCCGGAACAGCGTGTCGATGTCACTGCTCACCTGGCCGGCGCACACAGGGGTCATTCGAGGCTGGGGTGGCCATAATAAGTCCGCTGGATTTTGCTGATTACAATCAAGTCGGGAGATCTCATTCTGACAATAATCGAGCTTCCGTATGGCAATAGGTAGCGCTTAACCAATGTTATTAAGGAGGCGTTGGCTTGGCTATATTGACAAGACTCGAAAGTTTGAAGCTGTGTTCATGGTTACCTCGCTCAGTCTTATGGTTTGCAATGCCAGAAACCTAGAGCTCAGGACCTTTCTTGTGTATATCAACTGTCCAGATTCCAAACATTTCAGAGAAAACTTGTTTCCGTTTGGGACAAAATGACCCCAGCAGTCGGCGTGCCCAAGAACTACAATTAGGGGTATATTTCTTATTCAGTTGGAGGGCTCCAACTCTCCAACTTGGAGAAGAAAGTGGGCTTAATTCAGAGAGAAGCCCATTTGCTGGCGCATTCCGGGGTCAGTTTTGCCTCTTTTCACTGCTGAGCTTTGCCCCTACCCCTATCCCAAATCATTCTGAGAAACTACGCTCCTGACTCTAATGATCAATCCATGGCTTCGCATTCATGGCTTCGCTATGCTCGAGTCAGGTTTACGTGACAGCTGTTTTGGTTTCCACGTGATGTTAACAGGCGCTCAGCCAATGACAAATTAAATAACGTCCTCCAAACAGCACAAAAGACGAGAAAATGTTCACGGGAAAACTGAGCGCCCGTGGTCTGCTCAATTTCAAAAGCGGTGACCGGCTAACGTTCCTCCGGGGCAGCCCACTTCTAACAGCCCGTGTGTGTGCAAATTGGCAGGTCAACTGCAACCCACTCCGTACATCGAGCCGATACCTCCGGATTGGAGGCGCCACTTTGTGTACTTTACAGGAAAGGTGGTGTTTGGCGCACAGTAGACAAGGACTAATCGAAATGCGCGGAGGCTCCTCAGCATTTCCTGTGTTTACCTGTGAAGTGTGAATGCATAAATTTCGAGCCTGGGTAAGCATGTATATATATATATATATATATATATATATATACCTCTCTTCCTCTGGCTCCCTCTGTCTCTGGCTGTATCTGTGTCAACTGGTTCATCAGAATGATGGACTGGCCCGCTTCAATCCCAAAACTGCCTTTTCGTACGAAAAGTTTGCCAAGTGGTAGTGGCCACGTCTGTCCGGGGCCTTGATGTCGTCGGGGGGTCGAAGGCTGTGTCACGCGCGGCCGTGGGGAGACAAGGTGATGGCAGTGTGTCGCTCACACCGCTGGCACCACTGAGCCGCTCCCTCGGTCTACAGACTCTGAAGAGACCCCAGACCCCAGAGTGGGCTCGGAGTGATGTATGAAATGAACGGCCGCAGGAGGTCAGTTCTAGCACTTAAGGCCGGCACGCCCCGTGTGAACCGGAGACCCCGGAGTGGCGTGGGATGACTTATATCCCCCTGTATTTCACATATAAAAGAATGGTAAGACAGACGGGGGAAACTGAAATGGGCTAGAGCCGAAGTAGGATGGTGAAAGCTTAGGCTACGCTCATAACGTGGCCCATAACACGTCACAGCCAGCTGGGCAGTGACGCCATTGGAGCAATAAGCGGTGCCAATCGTGGACATTCTTTTGAAGTCGTGCGGCAAAACTGTATCTCTGTTCCACAACAGCCCTGTTGGAGCGACCTGAACGAGCAGTAGCACGTTTTGCGTCGGGTGGGATGCTGCGCCTTTCAAACTTTAAGTGTCCGTGTCATGGCGTTGACTTATTGCAATACAGCCAGGGTTCTTTTAGGAATAGGTTCTTTCCGCACCGCCGCCTTATCATTCAGCCTTGCTGTTAGGCCGCCGGTTGGCCGGTGTGGTCACGACCGGAGGCCGGCCTCACTAGTTCAATTGCCGTGTTGCTCTGATTAGCGATCTTATCACTGCAGTGTCCATCGAGTGACGCAGTGCCCGCCCGCTTTAGAGCCGTATATCCCTGAGCGGCCCGGGTCGGCGCGAGGGTGTAACGGAACCTAATGGCCTTCGTGTCCGGTGCTCGTGCCGACGGCGTGGCACGGCGGCACCGTTCGGCGGCGCGAGAGAGTGAGGCGGCCTTGACCGCGGCCCGGGCCCCGCCCGTCATGCGCCGCGTGCCCGCCGCCCAGCAAGAACTGGTGGCGCCCGCCGATCGCTGAGAGAGAGGCCAAAACGGCGAGCAGCACACCACGCTGCAAAGGGTCTTGTGCAATACGCGACAACTAGAAAATGGGCATAGAATAGTGATCGCGATAGTGATCTGAGATGTAGATGGTGGGATTTTGTAAATGTTTTTAAACTTGCAATGGAAATCGATTCCTCCTTGCACTTACCTTTGTTTCTGGCCGCTGCGTGGCAAATTGTTAAAACATCGTGCCACTGACAATTTCTTGGAAACGATAGACGCATTCCGCGGAAGTGCGAACAACGATATTCCGTTGCACCATGTTAGCCAGCTAGGTCGAGCGCTCGAAACCTTCATGCAAAAAAACGTGCTACTTTGCACATTTCCACAGTCACCAACATCTTTTAGAACAAGTTGATGGCACGCAAATGTACCACGGCCGCACGCACATGCACTTTCCACATAATGTCATAGGCGTATTGATGGAAAGAAATGACTAGAGCTCCGCTGACACCATCCGGGCATGCAGCTGTTTTTTTCTGTATGGTCCTATAAAAGCCTCATTTACATAGTCGCCATAGCCATGTCAAACACTGAGCAGTGGACTTATCAAGGCATTGTGGGCATGGACATGGTTTCGTATTTAGTTGGAGTGCAAGGGCCCCAGCTCCCCAACTTGCGCCAAGCCCGCCTACCCCAATCTCGAAAAAGAAGTTTGTTTGTGAGGGGAGGAAAAGGAAGCTTGTGAAAATTTTGCCGTTTTCACCTGACTCAGTCCCTTCCCAAATTGATTGTGCGAGGCTGTGCGTCTGATTATTTGAGTAATAAGCGTGATAGTCTAGGCTAATTCGACCCAAGAATTAAGTTTGATTTGGCTTCGTAGTTAGTTCCACGCAAAGTTCGTTCCACGCATAGTTCCGCGCAAAGGCCGAGCTTCGTAAAATTTATCTTATTCATGGTGTTCATGAAAAATGGGCCTGTCGCAGTTTTTGTTTGACGGCTTTCTTGTGATTTCAGTCCCATTTGGAGGAAGTGACACTAAGGATGGCAATGCAGGGGGCTGTGGCACCCACCAGGCAGTACAAAGTTCTAGCTATGGTCTCATATCCATTGCCACGTCATTGCCAAGTTGCCTGTCGGTTCATGCTTTCCACAGGCCCCGCGTTTTTCACGCTCCACTCACCTGTCCCGCTGCCAGGAGAACGCAAAGTACCGCCACGTTCCTCATATTTTGATCTGCAATCAGACGAGAGGTGGGTAAGGTCGTGTCGGCAGGGTGCCAGGCGTCTGCCCTTGCAGCGGAGATCCTGTCACCTTATATCACATACGACTATCAGCACTATCACCACACGAGCCACAGTGGATTGCCGATCGGAGACTGCGATGCACCACCTTCAGCGAGCACGAATCGAAGACTGCAGCGACGCCGCGTCGGGCCTGTTAAACGATGCGCGCGGCGGCACCAGGGAGGGAGGGGCGCCACGGGGCAACTGGCCGGCGGCGGACCCCACCCTCGGCGGTCACGTCGGTCGGCGGTCACCCCTCGCCAGGGCCGTTGACCTGGCCGAAAGGCTGACCTGGCGCGGTGGTGGCCGGCCGCCCGACACTGGTCCACTTTCACTTTCGTGGTGGACTGGGCTGGGCTGGGATGCGGGCGGCGGCGGCACCAGTGAGGGACTTGACCCTGGCGGGACGTACCCCAGCCCCCCTATCTTTTCAATTCTGATTCGTGGCTCGACGATAGCACCGCTCCTGACTGACATCACAGGCGCAGATCCGACTTTGGTGGGCTCCCCTCCCTGTTATGCTCCCACCTGACAGCAAAACACCGTGGAATGAAATATATCACCCGGCATGAGCTCGCGCGGCCCAGCCGGTCCCCCCGTTCCTCCGCCCGACCTCCCGCCCAACGACAGCACAGGTGCGGACTGACACAGATGAGCCCGACCCGACCTCGAACTGACCGTCCGTCCCTCCCGTCCCATGTGTGCCCCCGCCCGGCAACAGGGCAATCTCACACAGGCACGGATGGCCCTAACTGGCCGGCACAAAACGGCTTCATGACACTGGTGCTACGGCAAAAACGGCTCCGTGACACTGGTGCTAAGGCAAAAAAGGTTCCGTGACACTGGTGGTACGGCAAAAACGGCTCCGTGACACTGGTGCTACGGCAAAAACGGCTCCATAACACTAGTGCTACGGCGCAAACGCCTGCCGTCAGGAGCGCTGCGACATTACGTCTTCTGCCAATACTTATAGTGATATTACACAGCAAAACAATATATACACAACAAAACGTCTACCTCAAAAATGTTTGTCACACACGCCTTCCGTTGGAAACTTACAGAATTTTTAGTCATATTTACCATAACTTTTGCTGTAGACTTCTTTGCGACATTAATGCCACACGACAATGCTGATGCTTCAAGATTTTTTTCCTCTCCCTACATGGCTTTATTTCAAATGCACAAACCACACTTCTAACTAAGACACGAAATATATAATACGTGCTATGCAAGAATATAAACAGACTGATACTTTAAACTGCGTACTATACCTATACGCAACATAAGTGCCAAACGAAAAGGTTTGTTCTTCAAAAACCTACAGCCGTCATTACTTCTACTCCAAAAACGTACACGTTCCTCATTTATACGTGACATTGCTTTCACCACAGTATGTACTGAATGAGACGGCACGGAACGCCACGGAAGGCACTGGAACAAATTAGGACTGGGAGGTGAGGGCGGAACAGGGCTGGGCTATACTTCAAATATTTCGTTTCAGTTTATTACATTTAATTTTATTTCCTCTGCCGTCTATAAAGCAGAGGAAATGACAGGACACGCTAAACAAGGGGGTAGGTGAGAGCAGGGCAGGAGAGGACGGGTCCGAAGACAAAACAGGACAAGACCGGCCTTGTCCTCTTTTGCCGTCTGTCTTTTCACTGGTCCCTCCCCCTGCCCCCTGTCATTCCGTCTATGCCTTAAAGGGAGTGTTCCACATTTAAAAGGGTTTTGAACTGAAATAGTCATCTCGAAGGCCTTGCGGCGCTGTTCGCAATCCCACAATAAGCCACTGTCTCCCAATCTCAATCCATTTCAGCGTGAGCAGGCGTTCTCCGAAGGATTATAGGATATAAGGATATTCGAAGGATTTCCAGATATTTGGAGGAGGTGGAGGAGGAGAAGAATGAGGAGGAGAAGAGGGGATGGCATGACGGTTCCATCGAGGTTCATTACCCGAACGATATAGCCGCCAAACGTGTATTAGGTGCCAGGGAGCTGACTTCCCTGCGAGGGCCACGGCATCGTCAGCATGGTCATCACCGTTACGCCGCATCCGACCAGAAAGTCGTCGAAAGGCGTGATGGCGTGCTGGGAGTTGAGAGCAGTGTCGAAGGAAGAGATTCTGAGGGAGAAGAGATTGTGAGTGTGAAATTGAGAGGGACGGAGTGACCTCTGCTAGGCGCAGCAGGAGGAGGGAAAATATCCGGCTTAATGATACAGATACTTCCACTCAAACCTTCGATACCAAATTCAGTCGGCTGCTTCTGATGTTTAGACTTCGCTCACATTACTGACAGGTGTCGGAGAGACCCTCGCTGCACCGGATGCTCTTGTTCAGAGCACCGGTCCCGCGGCTGCGTCGCTGAGCGACGGAAGTCCTTGCACTGCGGCAAAGACTACGCGACCTTTTTTAGGAAGTGCCGTGTGTCTCTTGCGGAAGAGAAGGTTATTAGCACCAAGGTCAAGGAAAATATTTCAGTTAGATACACTCGACGTAAGTACAAGGAATCCTCAGCAAAGGGCTCGCCGTGATGTCCTGGCCTCTTCAGTGAAACTCACAATAACGCCAAACAGTGCTGGTCAGATGCTGTCTTTGCATGGCCTTCATGCTTTAAAAACATGACTGTCGGAGACTTCATCACCATGATCGCCCATGTTCTGGCCCTGAGGGTCTCCACCGTCACCTGCCTCGTGGAAGAAAGGTGGTTGGCTAATCCGCAGCTGCCATGATGCGTAGTGGCGCCCCGGTTGCCTTGCGGGCCGTGTGCCCCCCCCCCCCCCCGCTGGTTGGGCCCCCAGCGAGGTCCTCGCAATCCCTGCCCGGAAAAATTTCGGCGCCATATGACCAACGTAGTCGGTGCGCCCCAAAGCCCAGATAATAATAATAATAATTCGGAAGGGCAGGGTGGCCTCCCCGGTGCATTCTGCACCCCTGCAGCCCGCCGCTGTGGCCAAGCGGCGGCCCGGTGGCTGCCGCGCAGCCTGCCTACTCCATGACGTCTTCGCAGCGAATAGAGCCTCTTGGAAAGGAGACATTGCGCAGGGGAGTTAGCATTCCCTACGGCTTGCAAAGGGATTGGAACCATCCCTCGTACTGGAAAAAAAAAACACGTCGGTTGGTCGTCATTCCCCGTTACAGGGCCCGCTAGGGACAAGGGTGGAGGCCGGCCTGACGTTCTGGACTTGGGTGCGCGGGGACGCCCCGCGCCCGGACTCGTTCCGGACACCCGGGTCTTGCGCTCCCCCACTTCCTGGGACCCCACCTCCAGCGGCCACGCCTCGCCCGACGGGTGCGGTGAGTCCGGCCCCAACACCGCCGCCGGGGTTCGGTGACGTGCGAACGACGGACAAGACACCATCCACCGCCCAGGGTTGTGGTGCCGAGTGGGCCCCACCGTGACCTGTGTCTCCCACGGACGGTGGGACCCCAAAGGTCGGGCCCAGGGTTCGGTCTGGATCTGCCGATTGCGTGGGACCCCAAAGGCCCGGCCCAGGGTTCGGTCTGGATCTGCCGATTGCGTGGGACCCCAAAGGCCCGTTATGTTACTATCACTACTGCCTTATCTACGTCAATAATGCTCCTCGCGAATGCACCGAACAACTTTGGCTACGTTTAACTCCTACTTCGAGAAGATGACGTCGCACGGCTTGTTTTTCACACCAAAGCTCACAGGCAGTCTTTCGCAATGCGCCTTCGCCGCAAAAACGTGGGATGGGATGCCCGAGACAGGGTGTCACTTTCTATACTTTTGTGGCTGGAGTGAGCCCCACAGTGCTGACTTGAACAGTAACGGCTGTAGTCTTTGACATAGACAACGCATTCGATATTGCATGACATGGTATTCTGTGTACCGGTGACCTCGCCCACGACCTAGTCCCGCTTATGCACCTTATACTGACTTTAAATAGTTCCTTTCCGCCTGTCTGAAGGAAAAATGGAAGCAATCTTGGGATCAGGTGATCAGAGACATCCATGGCAATGGGAGAATTAAGCTCAGGGTGGTAAAACGCAGAGTGGGTGACTGGCTATCCTCACACCCGCAATAACAGCAAGGTGCAAGTCAGTTTTTTGTCGCCTCCATATCGTCACACCTGCAGCACACGGTCTTCTGTCCGGAGGTCAAGCGCCATCGTGTCCCAGGTGCGATCACTCGCTGTCAGTTGGTCACGTGCTCGTACAGTGGCGCTACCTATAAGCTGAGCGTCAGTGTTACTTCGGTGCCTACGTTGTCCGCGTGGCGCGCTGTGCGCTCGCATCAATGGACTGAAGACCAGATATATTTTTCCTAACTTACGCCTTCCCTGTTTCTAGCTCTTTTTTCTATTGTTATTTATTATAATTTTACTTATTACTATATTATTTCTAGCTCTAGCTCTTTGTTCTCATCTAATTCTCAGTCTTCTCTCCTCTCCCCAGTCTTCCTTCCTGACTCCAGCCCTTTTCCTGCCCCAAGTCCTCTTTCTGCCCTCTGTCCAAGCTCTATGGCGTCCTCTATGCAATTTTTTGATTTTTTCCCTTTGCTATTGATTGGGTTTTTATGCGCCGACTGCTGAGACCATATCATGCCTTGGTTCGTCCCCGATCCTATTCCCTGTCCTGTCCTCTAGGATTACGCCTTGGTCAGTCCTCGAGCCTATTTATCCTCTGCTTTGTCTTCTGCTATGTCGTCTGTGTTGTCCTCTGTTCCGTACGCGTCCCGCCTTCTGCTCTGGCCCGCCTCTTCGGTCCTGAGTTGGTCTGCCCTGTCCTGAGTTGGACACGACACAGCGCGATTCCACCCTTAATGGAATCAAGGAAGTCAGATTTTGTATCTGGTCATGTTGTATGTTGGGTCGAGAAGTGCCGTCCTACTATCGCGAGACTTACCTGTGATTGGCAGGCAGTGATTACGTCAGAGCCAGACGGTCAGCTTTGTAGGCTCAAAACACGTCTCCATTAGCGCTGATGTCCTTCTGCTGATACCAAAATATGTTCCGTAATGTAGGTGTTAGATGGAGCGTCATGCTTCTTTCCTCCTGAACAAAACATCGTCCCAGGACTTCGTGCCTCGGCAGACCTCGGGTCGTGTTGTAGACATCGCAGCACATCAGGTCGTTATCACCGTCCATGACACCATATAAAGGTGATTTCTTTTACTCCGGCTCCAGCCCAAATTACCCCGCCGCGAGGCGTTCTAGGATAGCAGCCG